GAGCACACCGAACTCGTCGCTATCGGTTTCCTTTTTCTTATTCTACTGATCGTTCGCTACTTTTCCTACTACATACACACTCCGCCGTTCCAAAGTCTTATCTAATCGGCGAACGGTCGCTATCGCGTTCTACAGTCCTCTGTTGTTGTCGATTTTTCAAATTTCACGCTTTCTAATGGGAACGGTGGAAGGGAAAAAGCGATTCGTCCCAACGATAAGAGAATCGCGGATGATGTCATACGACCTGGTGAACCGTTACGTGAGTTTTCGCGGCTCCGTACAATTAGTGGCCCCACTGCGAGAGATAAATTAAGTAGGATGATGTTATGCGAAATTCAAGGTCTTTGTTAGAGTTTCATTGTAACGAAGCAGCCATTCATCGCTCTTGGAGATGCTTTTTTTGGGGGGAAATACGAGTCTTGACCTTCTGTAGTAATTCTGTGGTAATTGAGAAAGATGAGTTCACTTGTAATTGAGACTGATCAGTGTTTCAGATCGGAACGTAATAGTACCTTAAAATCCTTCATTTCTTACCAACCGTAAAATACGTTATCACTGATGTTTTAAGAATTTTTGCTCAATTATGTAATCAAATTAGATACTAGAAGGTTTTCGTTGCAGCGAGTCAGCTATCTGACCTAGTAACAATATAAAAAGGAATCACACCAAAGTAAACGTCCGTCAGAAAAACGTCCCGATAAATAAGTGTACTTTATATAATCCCCAGAGCCTTAATCGCACTTTTTTTCCCTCCCGATAAACTCTCTCTAGCAGGTAGAGCGGAATAGAATCCAGAGTTTACTCGACACAATCAGCGGGATCTCGTAAACGCGAACACAAACGAAAAACAAAAAGGAAAAAAAAAAACACTCGCGATACTTTACATAATCCTTTCTTTCATTTCCCTCCTCGTTCCATCCACTTTCTCGAGTATTATCCAACGGCAGAAGAACAGGATCCCCTCTGATTGTCTCGAGAGCGTGAAAAAATCCCTTACCCTTCTTCAGTTGTTTCTGCTTGAGTTCCTGGTCCCTCTTCACCCCGTTACTTTCACTCGCGATCAAATTTTCGCTCGTCTTCGACTTCATTATTCGCGACCGGTCGCTACGGTTGCGCAACACTCGCAACGACGCCGCAACGCGGACTACACACCTCTCCTCCTCCTCCGCGACGCCTCTCTCTCTCTCTCTATCGCAGACACTCTCGAAACGGCGATAAGATAATGAGAACGATGTACGCGATTCGGAACAACGGTGAATTTATATCGAAAAACTCTTCGATACGATCTTCGTTAAACGACGAATTATCTCTGGATGAAGAGAGAGAGAGGGACGATGAAATTCGCAATAGAGACAAAATTTGATCGAGACACACTTGTTTTCTTTTTTTAAGGATTTCTTAAAGAGAGCGACGAAGTAGGTTGTTCGGTTTTCTAGGTAAAGAGTGATTCGTTCGGAGCGTTTCACCAGCACGACACCGCCGGTACGAACGCCGATCGCGGACTGGCGAGAGCGGCGAACGATCGAGACCAGAGGCGCGGACGAGCACGATCGTGCGTCGAGTTTCGATTGTCAAGCGGCTTCTCCGCGCCACGCCGACGTGTACTTTTCACGGCCGTCCCTCCGTGTGCCACCGTCGTCGATGCTTTTCCATCGCACACGCCTGGCCCGTCTTCGATACGCGCCCGAATCCTCGGTGCAACGTTCACGATGACACTCTTCTTTCTTCCTTTCTGGGTCAGAGTTGAGGCGTTTATTCCACGCGGTTAGGTAACAGGTGAGTTTCTCGGAAGACGATTTCAAGGTGATTTGCGAAGGCTGTTCTGTAAATTTGTTCGGTGTGAGTGTCTAATGGAGAAGTGTTTGTCTTCGGGATGGGGGGAAATTTGGAATCTTGATTCCACTTTTTTAGGTCGATGGTAAGAGATTTCTCGAGGTTTGGATCCTTCACTTTTTGAGAAATTAACCCGAGAAAATAATTTGTGGAGATAAAAAGGTACATCGAAGGAGATGGTAAGTTGAAAAGTAGATAAGATAAGAAATATTTGATATGCGAGGATTTCAAAACTCTCGATCGGTGCGATTAACCATTTGACTGAGACGGTCTAGTGGTGTCTGACGTTTCTGAAACTGATTTTGCGCGCAGGTTTCTTAACCCTTTCGCTGTTCAGTCCGTACGTCGTACGGGCAGAGCGGGATCCGCTTTGTTTAGTCTACCCTTCGCGTCTTATCGCTTAGAAACGAAAAAGAAATCCAAAAACAAAAAGAAAACGAAGAAGGAAGGATGCACGGTATTATTGTGCTTCAAAATTTACCACACCCGGACTAATTATTAGAATATCTTTAGGAATAACAGTGAAACACAGGTAGAATATGTTTTTTTTCTTCGTATTTTTATTATAAATAGAAGCAACACTAATTATAAAAAAAGTCGAACATTTTTGACCGCTTTTTGTTATTTTAGCGAACGGCGAAAGGGTTAACGATCGAGATTTTTCACGAATTTTTCAAAATGCATCTAAATCGTTTGAGAATTATTTTACAGTGGAACTAATTTTTGAAATTTTTGCCATTTCCTTGTTAGTAGTGAGATTCTTTCTCGACACCAAATGACCACGCATTCAAATTCAATTCTTCCACGGTCGAACTAAGAAATCGAATGCACGTAAAATTAATTCTATCGAAATTTAGAAATTTTTATTATCTCTTCAAGATAATGACTCGAATTAGCTCGTCTCGCCTAGAACAGATCCGTCTACGACTTAATAAAATTTCTAATACGAGGAAGAGAGAAATCCTTCGACAAAAAGGTTAACTCGTTGATCGCCCAGCGTGAATCGGTAGAGTTATCGAATGCACGTAAAATTAATTCTATCGAAATTTAGAAATTTTTATTATCTCTTCAAGATAATGGCTCGAATTAGCTCGTCTCGCCTAGAACAGATCCGTCTACGACTTAATAAAATTTCTAATACGAGGAAGAGACAAATCCTTCGACAAAAAGGTTAACTCGTTGATCGCCCAGCGTGAATCGGTAGAGTTTCTCCCGGGGCCCAAATCCGATACTCGGAGTGTAAACCGCGCGATTAGCTGGAATAACGATACGATGCAAAAAGACTATAACGTATTGTCCTAAGTGTCCAAAGTCACCTCAATTATGTTTACAATGTTTTAACGAATACCATCGTAACTAATAAAATGTTATAGTTGGGGCCACGATATAGCAAGGTCGTAAATTAAACTCTCAAGAATCGGCATCGATTGATGTTGCGGCACTCAAGGCCGTGTGTTGCAGTCTGTTTGAGGGTTCCAACAATAAACGAATGGTAGCATATGATTTGGTACTTCAAGTAGAAAATGGTATTTCATTTACAAATGGAAAATATGTTAATATTAAAGCTACACAATCCTTTTGCATTTTCTATCTGTATATAACACGAGCAGGTAAATGAAGATGTTAAAGACCTCAATAAGACCTTTACTTGTAACCGTACTTCCAAAAGCGGCTTTTCCCAGAAGAAAAAAACCCTAAATTGTCCTAGCTGAACTCAATTTTCAGTAAATATATTAGAATCAGTTTGACTTTCGCTGGATACAAGAATTCTTTGTACGGTCCTGACCATGGTTTCAAGTACTTATCTGCTCGTATTTCTGTCAATTTCGGGGTCCCGGCAGCTAAAACATGTTTACTTTGACGCCTAACCGATTTTACGACCTCGCTATATCGTGGCCCCGACTATAACTTTCAAGTCACGTACTAATATATCGATATTTTATTAAACAATTGAACTTTCTTCCACAAAATGGCATAAACGTCTTGTTGTACAATGTCTCCTTATTAACCAGTAACTTTCTTGATAACCGTTGTTACTTCAAAGTTACAATATGTCTTCGTTACGATAAAATTGCCGAAACTGCTGAATTCACTGTTATTCTGTATTTATAGGTCGATATTTGCTAATTTTACGTTACATAAATTCTTTTACAGTCGGGAAAAATATTCGGCCCATAGAGGGTTAACATCTATGGACTGATTAATTTGGTGTGAGCAAATTGAATTTTTTTTGCTCGATGAAAGAATTGACGAGGATTGGAATTTTGAAAGATTCTGATTTGAATGAGAGCGATAGTGAATTTACTTAAGGGTTTATTCGCTGTCCTTGCCTACGTTCGGCAAACTACAAAGGCGGGCGCGAGGCTCGAAAACGTAGTCCCTGACTCTACGAGTGTCAGGTTTAGCTTCCTTGCGGTCTGACACTTGTGGAGAATGTACTGTACATGGCTTATCTGAATTTACATAATTTTTCCTACTGTTTCAATTGGCATAAATAAGGAAAGATACCGCAACCTTAAAGTTCACTGGACTTATGCTGTTTTACCTGACAGTACTGAAGTTGTGGTATTTTTCTCAATCGGGATGTAAACATTCGTTTGTTATACACGATTATAGAAATGCTTTATGGACATCTTTATGTATTTCGGAAGAAAAAAAGTAGGATTTATTGAGTATGCTGTTTCATAGACCGTGATGTACGATTATTTTACAAGTTTGTCGACATATAAAGAATTGCGGACTATCGATTCTGACATAGATTTAGTAGAAAACAGCGACCCAAATAGTATAGATGAAGAAATACAGTCGAAAAGGGTCTATATGTTATCTATATGTATCTATGTATATGATACTCGGAGTGTAAACAGCTCGATTAGCTGGAATAACGATACGATGCAATGCGTTGTTTATATTATTTTAAAACCAAATTTAAATATAATTTGTTTGCTTTATATTATATAGTTTTGTTGTTCTGTATATTTTTCATTTACACGTGCTAATTCCATTAAATACTTTTGTTACAAATAAAATTATTATAAATTACCCCCGAAATCCTGTTTAATTGGACGAAGAAGAGCCCCCACGGAAACGTAGCCCACATATGGGTGACGTGGCGATCAACGTATTAAACGGTCAACGGTGGGAATTTTTTTTCCAGAGCAAAGTTCAAGATGTAAAATACCGTCTGTTCTTTGAAGCAAGGAATGTACGTAATGGAAGGATTATTAATGGAACGCGAGCTGTTTTCAATCAGTATGCAGGTATATTTAGTGGCACGATATCCTCCGGGTTATTTCCGAGCCGAGTGTTTTGCACCGTGATCCTCATCTTCTGCTCCCTTTTTTCTCGAAATAGCCAAGCGATTGCTCCTTGTACGGTGCTGTAATTATCTCGTTTATGGGACAAGCAAGGATAACAACTATGATGATAAATGGACCAACCTAAACCGGCTCTCTGGTCAATTCCATTTTTTACCAGTAACGTGTTACATGGGACAATATTAAAAATAGTAAAAAGTCCGTGAAAATGCGGCTTGAAATGGGACTAATATCGCGGAGTGACCAAAGTGGAAAGAGTAATCAAGGTGATGCACATAGAGACGAGATAAGAAATGAATTAACCTAAAATAGATCTCTAACCAATTCCATTTCTGTGAGTCACACGTTACGTAGAACTGTTAGATTTATCAGTCGGTTAGATATAACAAAAATTAATCTAAGGCCTTACTAGGAAGTATATATTACTTTTGCATACGTTCGGAGAAATCCGTTTAGCTTTACCACCTCTGTTCAGTAAAGATCTAAATGTTTATGATACGTGACGAAAGGCCCTTCGGCCCTCTGTTTAGTAAAGATCTAAATGTTTATGATACGTGACGAAAGGCCCTTCGGCCCCAAGCGGAGTCGTAGGCAATATTAGGACGTTGCGTAGGAGCCTTCTCAGTCTGTATACAGTGCTCTTGTCATCAAGTAGAGAAGCGAACCTTCCTTGTGTCTAATAAAAGTTTATAGTTTAAAATAAGGATAATCAATTATTTAACAACCAATAACTCCCATAATCCAATAAAAAATAAAAATATTGAAATTTCATGGTAAAAAGTCTGGTGTTTAATGTTCAAAGAAAAGAATAAATTATTGAAATTTTGCGATAAAAAGTGCACGAAACTCTAGCTTAAAATAGACCAACCTCGGGTAGTAACCAAAGTAGAAAGAGAAATCGTGGTAATGCACATCGGAGACACGATAACAAGGAGCGGTGCATCGTTATCAATTAATTAACAACCAGACGAAAAACAAGGTAATCCCACTTTACAGTTCTCATTCACGTTTCCCCGTACTGTTTGCGCCACCGAGTCACGTACAGGAGCAACAGAATTCTGCAGAGTCGAGGCGAGGAGAGCAGCGCAGCGGTGTCGTCAGATCGTGCACCAACCGGCCAACACGCAGGGGAGCTTGCATAAATTTTCCGTTTACTCTTCCACTG